GTAATGACATCTCAGCAGGGGGTGTAGACACTAGGGAAGTTTACGCAACAATGTTGAATAATTAACATGAATAGGAAGCTATTAGGGAAACTTGATTAAATGTTGAACATAGACAAGTCTCTTGTAAAGCAATCTCGGTCCAATGTTCTTATTGCAGAGCATTTTCTCACTTCCTCTATAGCCGTTTATTGATTGCAGTATGGGCACATGCAAGAGATCTTGCAGTTCATTTGGTCCATTGATAACGCAGACTAACAAGCCGGTTTCCATTATTTGAACTGTGCTTCATCAGTAAATACAGTCTATGTTGTTAGTTACCCATGCATCTATGCTTGAAGATGCCACAGTCCAGTCACAGGCTTGTGAACCATGGTAAGTGGGGTGTTGTGGGGTGGTGAGTGAGTGAGTGAGTGAGTGAGTGAGTGAGTGAGTGAGTGAGTGAGTGAGTGAGTGAGTGAGCGAGGGAGAGAGCAAGCGAGCGTGCGAGTGTCCCATGAATGAATGAGGTGGCAAATCATTGATAAAGCCGGACACAAGCTCGTATATCCCCAATTGGCCAATACCTGTTAAAATACAGTAAATAATCAAGTCTTGGGGATACTCCAGATACGAGCCCGTATATTCCCCAATTGGCCAATACCTGTTAATATACAGCAAATAATCATTAGTTATCTACCTTGTAACATCTGCATCATAGCTCCCAACAGTGAGAAGACTGAACCTTAGAATTTTGCTCCATGGCTGTCTGGTGAACCATTGATAAAAATGGTGACAACTGTCAAACTTAAATTCTTCCATGGATGAATATGATACATTCCCTGAGGTCTCCGCTGACAGAGACAAATCTACATCTCCACAATGAGGCGATCTAACCTTGTCATGAGTTTGGAAAAAACACACAAAGAAGCTGTTTCATTTCCTTTGCTGCGCATTTGAAATCTGACCATCATGCTAAATATCATATAATTTTTTTAAACAGAACATGAAATGTCACCGTAGCAACCATCATAGCTTCTCGCCAATCTCGCCCAAGGACAGACGAGGGATATGTGCAAGATCGTACCAATTAATATTTCAGGGGAGCTATGTCCATGAAGCATGAGAGAGTACCAGGTTTCCATTGCAGTGGCTCAAATTCCAGCCTGGCCTTTATGCTTGACTTTATTGACTGATCAGAGCTCTCTTGGTGCAAGAAGTCTTCATTTAGTTGCCATTTTATGAATATTTCCAAAACAATTCACAAGATACAATCATTAAAATAGTTCAGCGCAATTTATTGTATCAGGTGAACCTTGGCATATGCTTTTGGATCCAAAGTAAATGGAGTTTGGTTTGATAACAAGGAGATATTTCATTTGAGAGACTTATATTACATTCCTGTCTTACTGATAGATTAGAGTAGACGCATTCACAACTAATGCAGGAAAAGCCATAAGTTCCTCCACCACGAAGCACCAGCTGATGTGGCTTCTCAATAACTGTGTGGATCTGCTAACCCCACTTATTTCCACACCTATTAATTGCATATATTCTACTCAATAAAAAGTTTTAAGCCCATCCGATTCTTTCATATCACCGTAGTTAATCTGTCATAGCATGCCAGATTAACTATAGCATTCTGAGAGAATCGGGTGTTCCTTAACTTCTTTTGAGTAGTATATGTGTTGTATGCATACATGACCCAAGCACAGAGCTACATGTTTAAAATAATTATTGAAACTATTTGTAATTTACCTTCACCTTTGCCAATGAAAGTCTGCATATTGCTTACTAAGCCCTCTTGTTGAATTGACATTGAGTGTAATTGCATTTAAATGTATTTCAATGCAGATAAACCTGAATTGTTTTGAACTTTAAAAAAATCAACAAATGTGGATAAATATAACTTATTTTACACTGTAACTTCTTTTGCATATTAATGACCACAGATTATTTCTAATTTAACAATGTACTTGACTAAATTGAAACTCCTGTTAATTGCACACTTCTGTAAATTGCATATTTTTCTCTGACAAAGTGTGTGCAGTGAACAGGACTTGACTGTATTATGTCTAGGCAGCTACCTGATTCAATATACAGAATCTACGTATGCTTCAGGGTTAGACGTTTTTTTGCAAAGAATCATTTTGCAACCAATTCTTTTGAAGTTGGCATTTTCAATTTCATGGTAGAAGAACATAAACATGTCGAACTAGTTTCATTATTGTTAAATTAACTTACTGAATACATGGCTTGTTCAAATCAAATAACAAACTTGCATGGTGGCAACCATTTACGTCAAAGTGTTAGCAGCAGGGAATATCTCATATTTGTTCAGATTTGTGGTTGCATTTTTGCTTCTGTCTGCAATCATCTTCACAAGTGCTGTGTGAGTTTGGCATGGCGATGAGATTAGATACAGGGAGATCACGTCTAGATATATAAGAAGGGAAATCTGTTGTTAGAGTGAAAGCAAAAGGATTAGGGCGAGAAGGAAGACAAGAGTGATTAAATGTAGATAGGCAAGTGGGCAGACTAACGCTTAGTCTTAGAAAATACATAATTTTGATAGAAAAATCCTATACATTTATATTGAAAAGGAGAACCAGTGAAATTAGACATTCTTGAGTCCCTGACTCTAGACTTGCTTCATTTAGAGCTAGAGCATTACAGTAAGGGCTGGGTGAAAGGGAAAATAATATGGTTCAGGGACTGTGAGAGCCTGCTTATCGAAATGACAACAAATGGTGAAAGAGAGGGAGACAATGTGAGGGTTAGACAGTGTGATGGGGAGACACTGTGAGGTTAGACAGTGTGAGGGAGAGACACTGTGAGGGTTAGACAGTGTGAGGGGGAGACAATGTGAGGGTTAGACAGTGTGACGGGGAGACAGGGGGAGACAGTGTGAGGGGAGACCGGGGGATACAGTGTGAGGGGGAGACGGGGAGACAGTGTGAGGGGGAGACAGTGTGAGGGGAAGACAGGGGGAGACAGACTGTGAGGGGGAGACAGGGAGAGACAGTGTGAGGGGAAGAAACCTAATGATGGACAGAAAGAGTGAACTGAGACAAGGAAAAAACAATCTGGGTTATCACAATATAAGGTGAGGTGAGGTGAAATGGGGTATAACGTTCCCTTCAAGATTAATGCATTTGTACAGCGACGTGTGCGTGCGGGCGTGTTTCTAGTAGTCCGGACTAATGCCAGTTATATAGAGGTGCAAGCTCACTGAGATACCATGCTCCAAGTTAACATGGATACCCCTCTCAGACGCAGTATGCTGTCTCCAAGCTGACCAGTCCTTGTTTTAGCCACTTAATACAGAGCGCCGGACAAGTTAACAACTACTATCTTTTAATGTCTTTTGGTATGATGTTGCCAGGGATCGAAACCCCGACCTTCCGCTCTCCGGGCAGACACTCTACCACCAGACCACAATAATTGGAAGAGAAATGAGTGAAGAAGTGAGTTGGGATTAACACTGCTTTAAATGGAATGTCATGTTAGCTTAAGATAATATTAAAATAATTAGTATTTTATTATTTGATATGTTTTCTTAAATACAGCATGTGGACAAACCAAGGATGCTAATCAGGGCAAATATGGGATACAAACCCGTTGTCATCCCATCAACAGGATCGGGTGGTCAGGCTCACTGTCTTGGTTTATGCATGTCATCATATCCCTATTGCGTGGATTGATGCTCATGATGTCAATCACTGGATTGTCTGGTACAGACTCGATTATTTATAGACCACTGTCATGTAGCTGAAATATTGCCGAGTGCGACGTTAAACAGCAAACAAACAAACAATGTTAAGACAGGGAATGAGAGAGAAGGCTGACGCATACACAGTCATATTTAAAGTGGATGAGTGAGTGAGTGAGTGAGTATGGTTTTATGACACTTTTAGCAATATTCCATCAATATCACACCAGATATTAGCTTCACACATTGTACCCATGACGGAAATCGAACATGTGTCTTCAGCATGACGAACTAACAGTTTAACCACTAGGCTACCCAACTTCCCCTTAAAGTGGACGAGGATGAAGTAATTCCAGGCCAGTGAATGCCACGTACTGGACAGACATGTAGGAAAAGTACTCCATTACATCCGTGTTTAGATGTTTTTGTCATTTTAAGTATAAAATTGTCTGTAGAAGATGCGATAAAGACATTAATGTTTGTCTGTAAGCCTGAGACAATTGGCCAGGTGTTAGAGGTACCCCGAGGCGCAGCACATCTTGCAATGTTGACATGTTCTCTTACACATTATCACCTTACTGGCTAGACTTGCCAGGTTATGTGCTGAACTGTTCCCTGGGTATTGCAATGATAACAACACAGTGCCTTGGACTAGCCTTGTTGAGTAATAGAGTTAGTTCTTGCACTTATAGTTTTACTGACTACAAATTAATATTAACAAAACAATGTTAATTTTAGGTCTTTGAAGGGCATTTAGAAGTGATACACATAAGGAAGAGAATTTATGGATGTCAACTTCTTTATTATGAGGAACACATTTTGGAGTATATGCTTACTCCTTCATCAGGTTAAATGATGAAGGAATGAGCACATACTCTGAAATGTTGTGTTCCTCATAATATAAAAGTTGACATCCATAAATTTTCTTCCCTAATGTTAAATTTCATTTCCTTGATTGTTTTTTTCCAGGGGTCCATCTGCTTAAGAAGACACAATATATCCAATGTATTAATGGACAGCATCTCTAATCAGTGCATTTATTGAATTACACTCTAATAGTGCTTGAAAGCTTCTCCAAACTGCTATCCCAATAACACGCAATTCAAAGCGATGTTTCCTTTGATGCACATCAATAAAGCCCAGAGAATCAGCCAAAAGTTGAGTTATTATCTCGCTCACGGGTGAGTGAATTTTACGTGTTATCTATGTCGCGACGTCTGTGCGGCCTCACAAACCAACTGAGCGAGGAGCGTGAGAGAGTACTTATGTCTGTATTGACCTGACAAGTTGGCGACAACACTAATACCTGTCTTCCCTTTCATTAAAGTGATACAATCTCATCTCTTGGTAGGAAACTGTCACTGATTGGTCAAGTCTATTCATGACCAGAACAGACAGCTAAGCAACACCAACAGACGTGTAACAGGCAGCCCATTAAGATATACACTCGTATAACCTGGATCCGTAATGAAATGATGGACACACCTTGGTCAGTGTTCGAACTGGAATGATGGATGGGTCATAATTGACCAAAAGAAAACGGTGATTAACAGTCCGACTCTACCCAAACTGAACATTTGCCATATACCTGGTTGCCAAGGATAAGAGTTGCTATGGAATGAAGCATCTACTAGTGATACGCTCCTTATTGCTACAGAAACATCTCTGGTTCCTCCGATCACTGCCACTTAGCTGTGCCAGCCCCTTGATAACACAAGTTCAGAATCAATGTGATAACATCTACCTCGGTCGTGACAGCCGTTATTGGTTACTCTGGAGGCTGCGAGGAAGCAAACCTCTGTTGGACATTTAGTCCTCTCGGAAACTGGTGTGTGCAGAACACGATAGCGACGTGCTTGGGTTATCGGAACGGAAAGTGGTACTATTCTCCAGTGTCAGATAGAAGTAGAGATTGTCAACCCTGTACAGGAGGGAAATACGAGGATTTATCACCATCATCAGAGGATATATCATCATGATGTAGCAGACAATGTCACCAGCAGTAAGTGTTGTATTAGTCTTCTCGTTGCATCACACTTAACTCGACAGCCTGTCCACGTTTACGTAACACTTATCTTGTTTTGTTGAAGTTTATTAACCACACACTGGATTAAACGTGAGTTGTATTTAAGTGGGAGATGATTAGGGGACCAAACTACCTAATCTAACAACCACCCAACACACACAGCTCCCTTAGTTCGTCCTCCACCCACTCTTGGCATTCATTCCAAATCTCGAAATTTCAAAATTACTACCTATATAAGCAACCCCTAAAGCCCCCCTCCTGGGTTGCACAAACTCACTTTTCTCCTTTTTGGAAACACATTAAATGGCCTGGCCGGGCCCGTGTACGACATACGCTTGCAGTCGGAAAGCGCACGTTAAATCTCCAATATAAGTAAGTAAGGGGGCCAAGATAATAATAATCTTGACTTTATTACAGAAATGTGTCAACAATTCATATTATGGAAGGTGACTGTGTCTAGCATTAAAACATTTTCTAATTATTTGAGATGTTGAAATGCAACTGTACATCCATCTGGTGGACGCAGTACTTGTGTTATAATTCCCTTTATTACTGAAATGTGTCAACAATTCATATTTTGGAAGGTGACTGTGTCTAGCATTAAAACATTTTCTAATTATTTGAGATGTTGAAATGCAACTGTACATCCATCTGGTGGACGCAGTACTTGTGTTATAATTCCCTTTATTACTGAAATGTGTCAACAATTCATATTTTGGAAGGTGACTGTGTCTAGCATTAAAACATTTTCTAATTATTTGAGATGTTGAAATGCAACTGTACATCCATCTGGTGGACGCAGTACTTGTGTTATAATTCCCTTTATTACTGAAATGTGTCAACAATTCATATTTTGGAAGGTGACTGTGTCTAGCATTAAAACATTTTCTAATTATTTGAGATGTTGAAATGCAACTGTACATCCATCTGGTGGACGCAGTACTTGTGTTATAATTCCCTTTATTACAGAAATGTGTCAACAATTCATATTATGGAAGGTGACTGTGTCTAGCATTAAAACATTTTCTAATTATTTGAGATGTTGAAATGCAACTGTACATCCATCTGGTGGACGCAGTACTTGTGTTATAATTCCCTTTATTACTGAAATGTGTCAACAATTCATATTTTGGAAGGTGACTGTGTCTAGCATTAAAACATTTTCTAATTATTTGAGATGTTGAAATGCAACTGTACATCCATCTGGTGGACGCAGTACTTGTGTTATAATTCCCTTTATTACTGAAATGTGTCAACAATTCATATTTTGGAAGGTGACTGTGTCTAGCATTAAAACATTTTCTAATTATTTGAGATGTTGAAATGCAACTGTACATCCATCTGGTGGACGCAGTACTTGTGTTATAATTCCCTTTATTACTGAAATGTGTCAACAATTCATATTTTGGAAGGTGACTGTGTCTAGCATTAAAACATTTTCTAATTATTTGAGATGTTGAAATGCAACTGTACATCCATCTGGTGGACGCAGTACTTGTGTTATAATTCCCTTTATTACTGAAATGTGTCAACAATTCATATTTTGGAAGGTGACTGTGTCTAGCATTAAAACATTTTCTAATTATTTGAGATGTTGAAATGCAACTGTACATCCATCTGGTGGACGCAGTACTTGTGTTATAATTCCCTTTATTACTGAAATGTGTCAACAATTCATATTTTGGAAGGTGACTGTGTCTAGCATTAAAACATTTTCTAATTATTTGAGATGTTGAAATGCAACTGTACATCCATCTGGTGGACGCAGTACTTGTGTTATAATTCCCTTGCCCCCCCCCCCCCCCCCCCCTGGCCCTACCTTGACTGCCTTCCCTGGCTGTCTATCACATCTCACAGTCTGCTGAAACATCATATATAGATCAGACTAGAACTGACAGCTACAAGCAAATTACCTTGTTATCACACACATGAGTGAGCAGTGGCCTGGGATGTGAGGTCAAGCATAACACTGACCAATTGCTAAACTAACCAGATGAATGGCAAGGTGCCCTTCTGTACCTTGGGGAGAGCACAGGGGGCAACTGGGGTGGGACAGCCTTACATGGGGAGGGACGATGGGGAGGGACGATGGGGTGGGGCTGACCTGGACAGTCTCACACAGGGGCGGGTGATGGGGTGGGACTGGTGGGACACAGGGGTGGATGATGGGGTGGGACTTGTGGGACAGTCTCACAAAGGGGTGGGTGATGGGGTGGGGCTGACCTGGACAGTCTCACACAGGGTAGGGACGATGGGGTGGGACTTTTGGACAACCTCAAATAGGGGTTGGATGATGGGTTGGGGCTCACTTGTACATTTCCACATAGGGTGGGGCTCACCTGGAAAGCCTTACACGTGGAGGGGCAATAAAGCAGTAACATGGAGGGTGGGTGGGCCTATGGGGGCAGTCACATGGAGGGTGGGTGGGCCTATGGGGACAGTCACATGAAGGGTGGGTGGGCCTATGGGGACAGTCACATGGAGGGTGGGTGGGCCTATGGGGACAGTCACATGGAGGATGGGTGGACCTAGGGGGACAGTCACATGAAGGGTGGGTGGACCTATGGGGGCAGTCACATGGAGGATGGGTGGACCTATGGGGACAGTCACATGAAGGGTGGGTGGGCCTATGGGGACAGTCACATGGAGGGTGGGTGGGCCTATGGGGACAGTCACATGAAGGGTGGGTGGACCTATGGGGGCAGTCACATGGAGGATGGGTGGACCTATGGGGACAGTCACATGAAGGGTGGGTGGGCCTATGGGGACAGTCACATGAAGGGTGGGTGGGCCTATGGGGACAGTCACATGGAGGATGGGTGGGCCTATGGGGACAGTCACATGGAGGATGGGTGGACCTATGGGGACAGTCACATGAAGGGTGGGTGGGCCTATGGGGACAGTCACATGAAGGGTGGGTGGGCCTATGGGGACAGTCACATGGAGGATGGGTGGACCTATGGGGACAGTCACATGAAGGGTGGGTGGGCCTATGGGGACAGTCACATGGAGGATGGGTGGGCCTATGGGGACAGTCACATGAAGGGTGGGTGGGCCTATGGGGACAGTCACATGAAGGGTGGGTGGGCCTATGGGGACAGTCACATGGAGGATGGGTGGGCCTATGGGGACAGTCACATGGAGGGTGGGTGGACCTATGGGGACAGTCACATGGAGGATGGGTGGGCCTATGGGGACAGTCACATGGAGGATGGGTGGGCCTATGGGGACAGTCACATGAAGGGTGGGTGGGCCTATGGGGACAGTCACATGGAGGATGGGTGGGCCTATGGGGACAGTCACATGGAGGGCGGGTGGACCTATGGGGACAGTCACATGGAGGATGGGTGGACCTATGGGGACAGTCACATGGAGGGTGGGTGGGCCTATGGGGACAGTCACATGGAGGATGGGTGGACCTCTGGCGACAGTCACATGGAGGATGGGTGGACCTATGGAGACAGTCAATCAATCAATCAATCAATCTTTATTCATGGTACTTATGAGGCCAAAGGCCTATAGTACAATGTGTGGGGCGTGTTACAAATTCATACATTTTCTTAGTTTCATGGCATGATAAATGAACATTGATAGATTTCTAATAGTTTCTGTACAATCACAAGTCATTAATTTACAAAATTTGTTACCGTTTGGGTTGCGGTAGAAATAGTATTTTAGATATTTTGCTCTTAAATCTTCATACACTGGACATACACATAAAAAGTGATATTCATCTTCAGTACAATCAGTTTTACAAATCCTACAAAGTCTGTGTTCTCTTGTAATACCTTCATATCTGCCTGTTTCAATAAATAGATCATGTGAGCCACAACGGAATCGAGAAAGAGCTGTTCTAAACTTATGTAAATTTACACTTAATAGATAAGGTTCTAGTATAATAGTAGTCTTAAATGTAGTGTAATAGTTTGCTTTTCTAGAACTAGACAAAGAACAATGCCATTTTTGAATGTACATATCTTTTAAAGTCTGTGTCAAACGGGAGAAGAAATGTTGTGGCATATCTACATGTTGCTGTAACCAAATATAACCATATCCACATTCGTATAACATGTTTTTAACTTTTGATGCCCAATTTTGTTTCCCATGGCTGTCCTAGAGAAGCATCATATTATAACATTTTTTCGGGTATCTTGAAGATGGCATATTTAATAGCTTGACCCAGTATTTAATAACCTTTAAATAACTATTGATATACATGGGAAACCGTCCGCATTCACCATATACCCTTGCGTTTTCTGTGCTAGATTTTACCCCCAAGAACTGTTTACATGCATATAAATGTATTTTCTCAATAACATCCAAATGTTCTAGGCCCCAAATTTCGGATCCATACAATAGCATCGGGCTTATTTTTGTATCAAATATTTTAAAATAAACATCATATGTAACATTGTCCAGAACTCTAAGACTTTTTAATATGCCTACAAAAATTTGCTTGGCTTGCAATGAAATGTTATGTCCATTCCTTGACAGTCACATGGAGGATGGGTGGACCTGTGGGGACAGTCACTTTGAAGGTGGGTAGGCCTATGGGGGCAGTCACATTGAGGACACAGTTCTATAGGTTGGCATTGGTTCTTTTGCTGAGCTATGCATTGGGATCACCTAAGTAAGAGGTGGTTAAGTGAAAGTCCCAAATGTTAATGATAGAGTGGATGTTTGACGAGAAAAGCCAGCAGCTCTGGACTATTTGAAAAAATCATGCAACAAATACCTGATGACAAAATAGCTTTGACTGTGTTGTCAATCTGGGGGTAGGAACATTTTCCTACATCACAGCTAACAAGCAGAGACAGGAGTAGGTGACAGGATGTCTTGTAGACACACAGGGAATGTAGCTCTCCTTGGCTGTCAACCGTGATACCAGCATTATTGAGTTTTCTTTACAAAAGACTTCCACTGGAAGCAAGGCTAATTTCAACCCTTCAAAGACGCAGAATGCTTTACCAAGTAAA